TGTTTTGCTCAGAACCACACTGTAGTATAGTGTTGAAACTTTTCATTATGACACCCAGAAAAAAAATGGAGATTGTTCGACAGGAGACTTTAATTTGATTTTTCCTCCCACTTCTAATTAAGGTCACGGACTTAAATATTGACATATTTGTGCTCACGGACTGCGTGAGCATGTATTGCCAAACCTCGTATTGCAGTTGTGTCGCCTGCAATTTCTGTGGCTGGCGTTCAAGCTTATCCCTCGTCGAAATATCGGTTAAGTATTCTTGTTTCCGTTTTCCTTTGGTTGTGCCCAAGTTTGTGCTTGCCCTGGCCGCTAACCGGTCACAGTAGAGTCGCCAATGCTCACATCTCTCAAGTTCTGAAGCGATTTAACATTTTGTACATCTCTGGAGAAAGAGTAGATATATGGTAATTGCTGACTGGTTTCCCCGCTTATCAAGTGCATCACACTCGATCGGGGCCCGATAATGGCGTTATGACATCTTCACTTAGCTTCTTCCAATCATCTGTCACCGCAAAGCGAATCATCAGTGCTATCAATATTCATAATAACGCGGGAAAAGAAACGTCAGGAAATGACTCGGAATAACAGTCCGCCCAACTCTGTCCTCTCCCCTCTAATGCCATTTTGCTGATGCGTCCCCAGATGAATTAGCGCCAATTTTCGGGCGATTTGCCCGCCGGGTGAGGAGCGTGCAACCAGCGGTGAAATGCCGTAATTGGATTGTATAAGAATGGACTGTCCCAGGCGACAGTTGTGGGACAGACGACTCCCCAGAGACGGCCCCTGTTACCCTTCAGCGATTTAGAAGGTGTTTTGTGGTCTGCACGGTTCTCTTCTGCTAAGTCAACTCGAAAAAAACATTGACGGAATCAGACTGATCCGCTTTTAAAAGACTATTCCCGTGACTTGTGGGACGTAAAACGAGAGAAATGCATGCTCCGTTCCAAACGCTCGTCCGACTCAAGCACACACAATTATAATACAACGCCTTTTCACTGATGTCATGACCTCTAACCTGTGACTCTTCATGCATAGATCACCAACAGCACGTGATTGGGAGAAAAAACAATCATACCAAGTTTGATACTAAATCTGAAAAGAAAATAATATCTAAAAGCAGCGGTGATAAATCAGCGGTGATGCGAAAACTAGTTTTGAGTTTTCTCTCCTGCATGCCTGGAAAAGTCTATCCATTCAAAGACAATAGTAAATTATTAATTAAAAATAAATCAAAATGTGAACACAGCGTGAAACCGTAAAACAGTCCCCAGTTACCAAGGGACTTGGGCCCTTTACAATGAAACTTGAAAAGAGACTAAGAAAAATGAAGGTCTCTTCGTGCAAAAAAATGAGGTTTTTTTTCAAATTAACATGGACAGGTTTGATTTAATTCGATTCAATGTATCAAAATGAGTCACAAGTGACTACAGCCACATTTGAGTCACAGGTCTTTAAGTAAACTTTGGGAAAGAAAATGAATGACAACCATCAAATTAGTGATGGTAAAAACTGACACCAACCGTTCAGTTGGAGTCCAAATGCCGCACGCAAAAGCAACGTATTACTGATAATGGCCGGAAGGCTGAGTCGACTGGGTGCGCATTTGTCCAAGGACTATAATTTTATGCAGACAAAACAGGAACGGCGACCAGAACTCCCTGAGCCCTCGTATTGAAGGATGCGGAATTAATAAAGTCGATGCTGATGAAGGGAATACATTGTCCGGTGGTAGGCGCGGAGCAGGTGCGTTGCATGTTACTTAACTTCTGATTGTGTCCGGTCGCGCGGCGGATCGTCCCAGCGGTACTCGGAAACCGTATGTCTCTTGGGCATGTATGGTTCTATGCTCCCTTTAAATGCACCACTGTAAAATACTATACATAATGATGCACATTGAATGAAACCACGCTCTCCTCTCTTATTTGCCACGTTGTTAATACCGAAGAACGAAAGTGATCAGGTTCTACGAAATTGGAAATAATTTTTTTTTCAAGGTTTTATTTCTGTGCATTACATAAAGAAACACAGTTTAGTTTTTATGTGGGATATTACTCACCTTATATATCCTAATAAGTTACACAGTACATGCGATTTTGTCCAAGTATTAAACATGGGCTAACAGAAATGCACTGTTGTTTGAGTATTAATATATGTTTAATAAATTCTTGGCGTTTCCTCACTCAGAATCAAAGAGATATATTTATCACTCTCGTTAAAGTCCTCTGTGCACCATTTATTCTGCAGCTGAAATTGTCTAAGCTAGGCGTGCGCGGTTAGAATACCGAATTTGCCCCGTGGCACCAGGCATGGCTTCTTAAAAGGCTTTGGTTAGATCTGATAATTAAAGATTCGACTTGTGTTATGGTGCAAGTTATAAGTCCTTAACTTAACAGTGCCTGCATGGTTTGTCAATCCTACAGAAATGTAAACTATGAGAAATAGTGGAAGGGGTGAAAATTGCAAAATGGAAATAATCAACCCCTCAAGAAAAAACAAACATTGAGACCTACGTCATGAGGTTTCGGTATTTGGATTTTTTAGATAGACCTTTGTATGAAAAGCATTTTCAGATTTTGTTTTCTTTTCGGGAACGGCAACACGAGTTTCAGCCATAACTATTAAGTTGTCCAGTCTTTCAATTTAATAAAGCAGTTCTGTGTTCGGTGTTACTGAATAAGCAGTGCGAAGGCATTGCATTAAGCTTCTTGTTTTATAATGATTCGCAAGCCACTTACTTCAAGGTGTCAGCGTGGTGTAACCGAGTATTTCTAGATTGAAATTGGTTTTTCTCTCATACAGCACCCTCGCCTTGAAGCATAAACAGGAGAAAGTATCGTTTCTATTGTTGGGGGAATATGCTCTCGAATCAACCTTGAGCAGGAGCACCCCCACATCGGTCAAAACGAGCCATGCTGGTAAGGAGTGTTCATGTTGTTGGTAGAGACGCGACCGTAACACGTGCATTTCATAGTCGTTTGTAAACGAGCCAAGTCAAGTTCCGACCAAAGGAGTCTCCGTTGCTTGGAAAATTGCGCCCTCTCTTGGTCCAGGTCGGGGCTCATTGGAATGGGAAGCAAAGATTTGGTGGAAGAAACTATTGAAGGACAGGTAAATGTAGGGCACCAGGATTCTATGTAGCACCGTACCCAAAGAGTGAATGCGTCGATACAATGTAGGACATGGTTCCTTTAATTACTGCCCACTGTGTCTAGGGAGACATTTCTTCACTCAAGTCAACAAAGAGCTACAGTCGCCTACCATAAAGTAGTACAGCTTGTGATCCTACTTTGGAACAATTTATAGCTATTGAGTGTAGATTTTGGGACCATATAATTGTCTGTTGAATATTTTGGAATGTTTGTAAGGTGCTAATTCTATTCTCAACAAATTGTCAATTGACAGTCTAAATTATTTCACTGCAGAGTAATCACGAAGTATAGTACGAGTATAAATGAGTAACATGACATTTATTATCAAATTGGTGTCATCATTTTTGTAACCTTGTATATTCTAATCAAAATGAACGTATATTTTGCGACTTTAAATTGCAGCAAATGGAAAATGAATACTCACTTCCGGAGGGTCACAGTAAAATACAGAATTTCAGCGTATAAGAATGGACATTTGTTGTAATTGGCAAGTAATGCGTCCGTCCGAAAGCTCAATCACGTATTTGTAACCTCTTTAATGAAACGTAATGCACATTTATTTATTTGAAGGATGCAAACCGAGGTCGAATTCTTGTCATTGCGAAAATGAAACCAGGTTTAAGGCCGTTTCCAAAATCTACGCTAAATTGAAATATCATCTTGCAAAAAAGATCGCCCATTTTCCGCAATTGGCCGGGAAAACCTACAATTTACTGACCTCCTGCAAGGCGTATCATTCTGTTCATCAAGAACAGTGCAACGCATTACCTTTCTCCACCAGCCCGATAAAATCATTGTGACGGTCCTCGAGACGCTCCCCTCGGAAAAAAAATGTCTGTGTCTGCCACTGTGGCTTTTCCCAATCTTGATTGACAGTTCTTGCTTGTTATTGCCAATACGTTTGAGGCGACCGAATTAGTTTCAATAGGGTCTCTACTGTATGTACACCCCAGGCCCGTCGTGTTCTTGTTGATATTGTCTTCTTGTAGTTTTCGTCGTTGTCGCCGTCGCCGATTGTCGCTGCTGTTTGTTGTCGTTATTGGTATTGTTCTTGATCTTATTGTTCGTGCTGTTGATGCTGTTCTTTTCCCAAAGGGTGCGATATACACCATTCTGACTTAGCCATGTACAGAGAGGAAGGAGGCCGCTAAGTGGGAAATTAACTTTACATATATAAATCCCAAGTCTCCAAGCTCAAAATAGATGACACATCGGAATTCCACGGACTGGACATCATTTAAAGAAACACACAGATTCAGAAAGTATGATACAGTGGCACCTACCCCTTTTTGGCAGGATACGGGCAGGGGATATCTCTGATGGGGACACACATTGCTCGCTGAAAGCGATTAGATTTTGGGCCCACTCGGGCGTTTTTCTGCGACTGCAAATGGACTCGAGTAAACGGATAGGTTGTGGTGTGCGCTAAAATGCATCTTTCGCAATATGAGATACCATCGGCGCTGCCGGTATTTTGCCCTTTGAAAGCACCCCCTTTCAAACAACCTTTTGAAGTTACCAAATTCAGTTACTGACATCTGATGCGCACACACACTCATAAAATGAATATACGAAGGAAGAAACCGAGTGTGTTTGGAAGTAAGAAAAATACCCCTCAATGCGCTCAGACTGAGGGAATAAACGAGACAAAACAAAACATACCAAAAAAGGAGAAAAAAGTGAAAGACAAAACAGCAGGTAAAGCAAAGGATCTGAAGTGGCTCTGAGTCGTTCAAGGAGCGGGTAGTACTTCAAGTTTTTTTTTTTTACAATCAAGCTAGACAAATAGAAACAGGAGAGGATTAACAGACAAATAACTGGTCAAGCAACACAAAAGGGACTTACCGTTATACGGGTGGTCAATCAAGTCGTCACTGCCCAGCACACACAGACTGCCGAAGCAAACGGACAGGATCACTAGCAGAAAACACTTGGTAAACCCTTCCATCTTGGCGTTCGAACCCAAACGCGACCAGCCGCAGAGTGTCCTGAAAGAAAGTATTGGCAGGACCGTGTGAGCCTTTAAAACGGCACACTGCGCATGAGTGGGTGGTGCGTACGTGCATCACCGAGAGTATACATAAGTAACATAAGCACAGTAGACTGGCTCCCATCGCTACCATCACAACCCTTGACGTCTTTTACGTTAGGACAGTTAACCACTGTGGGCAAAAATAACTTTTGATGTAAGCACGCCTTTTCATAAGTCGCTGGAAAGTGTCGGAAGTAAAGTTTGGAGAAAAAAAAAGAATAAAAGAAAGAGCAACGCGGAAGTTTACACATAATGGACATTTTTAAACATAAACGACCATAACCGGAAATGAACAAACATGGGTTTGAACCTTTCGGACATGTTGGGAAATGGGCAGAATTGTCACGTGACTTGTGGTGGCAATCATGCAGGCCACTACCATCCCTCGATATAGTCAGAGTTCCTTGGTTAGGGCACCAGACCAACGTGCTTTTATGGCGCATAACTGCCGGAGGCACAGCGACATAAGTGTCTCAGTTGGAACCAAAATGGTGAATGATGCGTCAGTACACACGGACAATAAGCATACAATGGCTGCATACAGTACTGCACACGTAATGAGCAGCCATTTTGGTTCCAAAGTCTGAGGTTCTCTCTATATTCAGCTCTGCTGCTGGAGGTGCAGCACCGCCCTCCTCGACAATCTCTCGACCACGTTCAAAACTCTTCGTTGGTGTATAAATAAAACGTGGGCAGACTGTCACGTGTCGTTTGACAGAAGTCTTTCTGTAGATTTGGCAACATTAATGTCAGTCAACAGAAATCCTTTATGACCCTCTCAGACTTGGCAAAGATGTGGTGCACAGAAGGTCAGAGGTCACATGAGCGACGCCGAACGCATGGGATCTCATCAGCTTATCGAGACACACTTACTGCAAACACTGTATATACGTTGGATTTTGTTACACGGCAACATCAGTTCATATTGCACGACAGAGTATAATATTTCCAAGGCAATGTCTGAATTATGTATTCGGGACCATTGTAAGATATCGGATGGCCATACCAACCTTATATGCAAGGTGACTTTTTCAATGTTTTTTCTTCCATCAGGCCGGCATCAATCTCAGATTTAAAAAGATTGTCGAGAATACGATCTCTTATCTTTGAAAATGAAGCAAGGTGAATAAAAGTGCATTTGGCATTCGTTTTGATGGCTTGTGTTTACCTTGGCGCTACTTAGCCCCCCCCCACCCGGAAAGGGAAGGGGGTGAGGGAGAAACAGTTTGAGGTTGACGGAGCTAATAAGAATTGAGTCAGTATTTTTGTGGCGAACGATTCGTCTTGGTGAAGAGGAAGGACAAGAATTGAGTGTTATGTCACGCCTGTTGAGTTATCTTGCAGCAGACCCACCAAAGACCAGGGAGAGAGGTGGACTGGGGTTACAGATTATCTGTCAGGAGAGACCCAGGTCAGATCTAGCGTCAGAAAGACACTGTTGGACTCTTTTAAACGTGCCCTCAAGCCTGAAAACAAAATCGGAGAATTTTTACAGATGAAACTGATTGGCTCCCTATATATCCCAGTATTTGTTTCATTTGAACAGTTGCTCTTCCTACGTTGAATTAAGAACGACTGTAGAAACGCCCACACACCCACGGAATTAATATTTGTCCCCGAAGGGAGAACCCTGTGTTTAAATAACGGCCCTTTACCTAACACGTGTAAGCTATGTGGCACTGTGTTTTATCAAAGAAACAAAACGAAACAATACCTTTGTCCTCTGTGATGAAATACTGAGAGTGTTTTTTCGTGATGTTTCGATACTTGATATCAGAGGTCTTGGTCGCAGTATTGAACGTAGGTGTATAGGCTTTAACCTTATAAAGAAGCGGGGCGTTTTTGGACCGGCTCATACTTCAGGGAACCCCCCCCCAGGCATTGGCCTTACCACATCCAATTCTCTTTATGACATCTATATTAATTACATTTTGTGAAGTCCTAAAATCAGTTCATAGTTTAATATGTGCTGCTGTGGTCTTATGTTTATCTACGGTCATACGTATATATAAGCGCAGGTTCATTGAGCATGACAATAGAAGTAAACGTAATATTCGGTGAGCTGCCCAAGAAACAAAATGAACGTCAAGCAACAACGGTGTGTCAGATTTTCACAAATTGCACGCCGGATAAACACCCTTTCTTAAAAAATGTACCCTTCATAAAGTTTCATTTCCAAAGAGTGAGACAAGATCAGGCATATTCGAGTAAAAGTCACTGTAATTTGATTAGCACACTTTGGAAAATATCAGCTTGCAGGAAATTTGAGAGTTATGTCGATATGTCTAACTCTCTTCAATGTTTTTCAATTTTGTACCTGGTGTTGGAGGGAGTGAAATTTCACCCAATTAGCTTTCAATGGCTTTATCACCTTTGGTAAAAAATCAGTTAGAAGTTGGACGAACCTGTTGGTAACGGGATGGTTTCTGTGATCCTCGTTTTTTTTTCTTAACTAACTCCGGTAAATAAACGAAGTACTCCATAATCGCTCCGGTTGCAAACAACCCATTGTGTCGACATATAAAGTCGACATGTCGACACAGGACACAAACTTGTGTATCCTGTTTTTGAGGGTTGGTGAGAAGCGTACAGGATGCGACGAAAGCTATGCGCCAATGTCACAGGCTTCCATTTACACTGAAGTATCTCTTCCTTCATTTAGCTGGTAAATTTATTGATTTTATGGCAGCAATTCAGACACACAATGGCACAAAGAAACGCTTCACGTCTTTTCACAGGAACGTGACTTGACAATGTCGTTTTGTCAGAGACACGAGGAGGCTTTTCAAGAGCACTTTTTTGTTAACCAAAGCCACATTGGTTACGTGCCGACGTCTATGAAAACTGCCCACATATAGATTAGCAGTAAATTTTATTTTGCAATTAGAAGAATTGTTGTTGGCATTAACATCGGGCCGGCAAAAGTGAGTGCGTTAAGTGAAGGTTTTTGTCAGTTAGTGGTCAGGAGGAGCGCCCTTCTCTTGTACTCCGTGACGGGGACAGTGTCAGAGAGTCGATAGCTAGTAGACCAAGGGAAACCAGCGGCGTATCCAGCTTTTGGTGTAGGTGAGTTTGTTTCTGCATTCAATTGGGGACCCTGAACAATAGAGGACATTAAGGTCCCCGATTGACAGAGGGCCCCCAATTGACAATTGTGCACAAAACATATGGATGGTCTTCTAAAAAAGTTAAAGTACAAACAAAAGAGGAACAATAGCGGGTCCCCAGTTGCAGGCAAATACACACTTGCATGTGTGTGGGACGGGGAAAATCCAAAACCAAATGCGGCTTCGGGCTCATTATACATGATGTTGGGGAAGAAAAAAAAAGACCTCAATCACGATCGAGATATCCTTGATTTTATTTCCTGGTGTTGTTTTCTTAGGATTTTGGTGCTAATATTTGATAAATAAATATAGACTGATTACTTTATCCCTATCCACCTTCCCCCGCATGATAAGCCACTGGAAATAACCCCTCATTCCCCACGAAATCGATAGCATCGCTAATCCAAAACAGACGCCAGAAAATGTTACAGTGAATACAACAGTAATACTAACAAATGAAAATTGGAAATAATACTATGATATTTAGTGGATACCAAGTATTGCGAGTATCAGTTTCTTTGAATATCCATTTCGGAATTTGATTTCGCAAGAAATGAAAAAAAAATAAAGTAATAAATTGCATTTATACGCGTACAGTTTGAATGTGCTGCTGATGAATTAGGCATTTATTGATTATCACGTTTTTGTCCTACCCAAACGATATTCAAATTTTCGAGTGCCTACCGTTACGACAAATCGTGTTCTGAAAGGTTAAAATCTATCAAAATTAACATACAGCTGATCCTTCCGTACCGACTGTTTCCTGAAGTAGCCTTTTTACTCTCCTCTGAAACGGAATTCGAAGAATACATCGTTTTCTCAATATGTATAACATTGTCCAAACACTATCAAATAAAACAAGAAGATTCAACAAACCTAGATTCCTCAATAAGGATGTCCATTGTATTCTTGTGTTAGTTTCACCTTCACCTTACACTTAGGTTTATCGGACGTGATTTCAATATTAATGAAATTCCATGCAGGAAGCACTTTGGCTTGTATTGGAAGCTAACACTACTGGCCTTTTAACACTCCCAAGACATATTTACAGTCTTCTTCAATAAAACTAGCACATACACCCTGCGCAAGTGTAAACGTGAGTAAACCCCCCCCCCCGACTAGTGGAGTGTCATTGCTGGCTGCAGGACTGAGTGAACAGGCCCAGAGTAGGTAAATCACCTCGCGATGTTTAACATTTTCAATAATTGATATATATTTCCAATAACACTGCAAACGCAAGTACTCGTAAGCGCTCGCCCCTTCGTGGTATTTAGCTTCCCCCTTTTCAACAACACATCAAATAACGTAGCTACTTGAGTGGTTGTGTCATCACCGCACGATAACGTGCCGCTCGCAGCAGGACTGACGGAATAGCTCGCGTGATCGTTAACTTGAATCGCAAACTAATATTGTAAACGAGAGAGCGGTATTTCTCCCCTTGGAGACTTAAAAATGGCAAGATTGAGCCGCAGCTCTCCCTGGTTTCTCAGACCCCAAAGGAAAATCTATCTCGCTAATACCTGGCACTGAATTTCCTGCCCTTGGACTGACGAGCACTCAAGAGTGGCCCTACACAGGCTCTCTTGTCGGCACTTAACCCGGCATCTTGTATTTTCAATTATTGCACTGCCATTTACGTTCCGGGGCAAACTGCAACACATAATAACAGACAATAAATACCCTTGCTTCATTAAACAGGAAAACTCTCTCAGGTATTTAAGAGAAGATCCCAGAGATGATCGGAAATCAAAAGTTTCAATTCTTCGCGCTCAATTTAGTGTAGAGTTTCAGGAAGGCTTACGGATATCTCGGTGAGGGTTACAATGCGAAGATGATCTCTTTCTTTCAA